AGGGCCAGGCATTCGAGCAAAAGACATTATGCTCATTCTGCAATGGGGAATCAACAGGATCCAAATGCACAGAGTCTTGTCGAGACGCAGTCGACAGAGCCCGCGCAGAGTCTGGAGGTAACAACACGTCGCTCGAGAGCGAGTAGTTTTCAAGTCTCGCCTTTTAGCGGCAACCCGGTGTACATCGATGCCTCGGCCAATGAAACCGTTCGAACATCGCTGTACACGGGGAAGTCGACCAACAGGGGCGACGGTTAAAGATCCATTGCTGTTCGCAGATGTCCGGACATGCCCTCGCTGCTCACTACAGCGCCGATAGCCGATTGCCAGGTGTTAGCGATTGCCGGCACAGATGCAGGAATTGCAATTTGACGGCGGTCGGACAATGTCACAGGGACAGGATATTCACCGCGTGGCGAGCCACCGGTTGGATGCACGGGGCGCTGATGCAACACTTCCATATGCAGAACGACGGCAGCCTCATAATACACAACAACGGGCTGTACTTGGTCTACGCGCAGATCCATTACGTGGATACGGTCCACGCGGCTGGGTTCAGGCTGGAGGTGAACGATCGCGTAATCTTACAGTGCTCGGTGAGTGAAACTCGTCCGCCGATGAACGGAATATACGTCGACGGAAAAAACACTTTTCGTTTCACTTGCTCGCATTTCAGGTGGCCAGAACCGGTACGAAGATAGATCAATCCTGCTTCTCGGCCCAGGTGACATTGCTCAGGAAGAACGATTCTTTGACCCTTAAAGAGATCGAAGAATCCCCGCGGGGCGCCATACTCGAGGACATAGACAGTTTCTTCGGTGTGGTCAAGTTAGGGGATATCCCATGACCGACGTGACATTGAGCGACGTTTCTCTATTTTACCGCGGTATAATTTTACAATGTGTTCTTGATTTTCCACGATCCAAAGAGTGCGCGAGAGTGAGAGCGAGAAGAACTGATCTTATAATCGTCGTCGTAAGCCGCAAGTAAGCTATCGCGTTGCAGAAACGGGATTCGGTGTGTCACGGCAAACCCGCCGGCAAATCGATGCCTTCTCACGGTACAACCTCGCCCGACGACTGTTTATCGGGATGAGATCGCCGGGCGAGTGCATCAGGTCGACGATGAAGTTCGGCTTGAGCAGCTTCGACGGGAACGCCGTTTGACGATGATCCACGGGCACCGGGCTATGTTTGTACGCCGACTTCTGTACTTGCAACTTTAGAAATTCCGGACTCGACGGGTTTCCCGCTATGTAGGGCTGGAACGACGTCTCCTCGGCTGGGTCCTTTGTCTACAAAGTTGTTTCTTTTGTTAGTCTTTTTTTTTTACATTGCATCGAATGCAGACTGTTTTATTTGAACATCTGTGGCGAAAGACATTTTCAAATAGAGCATTCTGTATCACAAAGAAATTCAGGTATTACTTCGGGCACAGCTATTTCGATCCAAGCCTTCCCGTACTCTCCCCGTACCAAAGCAGCGGGTAGATGCACCCTATCCGCGATAACTTTAAACAGCAAGGCCCTCTCGAGGTACGAACCGATGCGCAAAGAGCCTAACGGTATCACACTAGTCTCTATGGCGACTTTGATCTCCTTCAAATGGATTTCCAGCTGATGATCGATACAGTCGATAAATTGATCAGGTCCCGACATTTGCTTGGCCACGAATTTGGCCAACATTACAGCACGTGAAGCCACGAAGCTCATGTTTGCCAATCCCGGCTTCGCCTGGGATGCTCTATGTGAACGATGTGCAATGGTTATCGAAGAATATAATAAACGAGACTCGAATATCTTATAACCGGCGATGCGTACACGCGTTTCGTCTCTGCGGCGTCGAGCTTGCACTTGAACAGCTCCACGTAATTGTGCAAGCAGATGTCGCATTGCAAGCCGCTAAATTTCTGATCCTCCCCTAGACCCTCTATTTGCGTGGAGAGAAATATTCTAGGTCGGATGACCTTATCCCCGTTTTCGACGCTAAGATCCTCTGTAAGATAAAAAACCGTGACGCGGATCGATGCTCTATTAGAACCGACAACCGTACCGTCTCCGATCGAGTGACGTAATCTTTCCTGGGATTCCGGCAGGTAGGAGCGAACACAGTTCACCACGTAAACAGGTTCCAGTGGGCAGATACTGAATCGGAAGATGTCGTCCAATATCGGAAACCTGTTTGCAAAATCGAGACGTCGAGGCAATTTCAGAAATTGTTTCCTCTCGAAGCAGGCCGGAGTACTTGATGTCGATTCGGAATTCTTTTTAACCAGAATCTCGACATTGATACTTTGACATGCCAAGTAGTCCGGTAAGCAGGTTTTAGAAGAATTAGTCCTACGGGCAGATGTTTCTCCGGAGAACATAGAATCCGTTCTCGGTGACGTCGTGCAACGAAAGTCGTCCGGTGAAAGCAAACTTGATCGGCAGATGGGCGTCGAACAGCGCTTCGATGCACGTGTCCCAGGAGGGCACGATTCTCGCGGTGGTTCGGTTCTTCAGCATGCTTGTCCCGGGCATTTTCATCGGTTAGTTTCATAGAACGGTCGCGGATCTCCCGCTTGAATACCGAAGGAATTGGAGGGAGAACGCTTACTAATTCAGATATCTGGCCTGCACGAAAGCGTTGGCCAGAACCGGATCTGCGCATAACAATTGAATGGTCTGGGTGGCTGCGTTCCTTGTTGGAACCGAGCCGACGTCGCATAACAGATTATATAATCTGTTTGGCCCGTGGACCTTCAAGAAAACGGATCTTCCGAGCTGGTCCACGCAGAGGGTCGACAGAGCATTGCAGCAAGCGATCTTGTAGTCGGTCGTCGCTGGGCATGTTAACTGAAAAATGATAAGGAATTTTTATTGATTCTTAAAAATGTTCCTTTAACCTTTTAGGTACGGCTGAATTCTGCGCGAGGCTATTTCTCTGGACGGCAGAGTCTGATATGTACTGTACAGAGTTTCTGTATATTCTGTCTGTATATTGTTAAGATACAGTTATATTGTTAACAGTTATATTGTTAAGATAAGTCTGTATATTGTAAATCGATGTGAAGACAAAAAAAGTGTGAAACAATGCATATGAAGACGATTATTTGATTCAAACGATGACCGAGTGAGCTACTAGAGTAAGCCACTATAGTGGCGCGTCGTGCCTAAAAGGTTAAGTAATTCTCTAACTATTTTTACTATAAATCCGCAAACGGTTTACTTTGAAGGACGCGCACAATGCATCCATGACATCCGCAGTGATAATTGCACTGCGCAAAGACTGACTTCTTCCTATCGTCGTCAGGCATTCGATGGCTCCGTTCAGGATTTCTACAGGAACCTTCAACACGGGTTGTCTCATCAGCCATACCAGATAATTCTGAAGCAACGTTGAAACGTGTCATTTGATAGAATTTTCAACGCGTTTAAACGATAAGGCGAGCAATAAATAATGAAAAATACCTGGCCCTGCATGTTTAAGAAATCCTGACCATTCTTTCCGTTGCATTTGAGCAGTTGGTTCAAGGCAAACATGGCTGCCTGTCTGGTACTCCATTTCAAGGATTCGTTTTTCAATATATCTAGGATACGCATGTGCTTGTTGAAAAAATAACAGCGAGTGAAATATCTAATATCTGATCTACCTAAGATATTCTTCATGCAACTGCTGGCGATCAGCTCTTTGGCAGCTTCGGGGTGAAGGGTCATCATGCCGATTCCGTGACAACCGATCTCGTACACGCTCTCTGGCATGTTGCCTTCGAATGTGTTCAACAAATGATTAACGATGCCGTGAGCGTAGAGAGCCTACAAGAGGAAACGGGTGTCGAGTCGAATAATAAGACCCAAACGAAGACTTTCGGATTTTAGGAGTTCACCTTTCTGCCCAGATGTGTGCGAGCAAGACGGACCGCTACGTCCAGCGCTTCGATGAAGAGCTTCGAGTGCGCTATGTCCTCTTTGTACTTCAGAATTTGCCGGATACCGCCTATGTCGTGGAGCAGCTCCACCGTCGCGGTGTTATCGGACGCCGAACAAAGGATCCTGAGTACCTCTGCGTGGAGATCTTGCCACTCGTCGTTCTAAACCGAGAGAGACGTGATTATTAAATCTTACGGGAACACGCGCAATCCTTTCTTACATCCAGGAACTTCAGCAGAGCTTGAAGACCGTTCGATCGTCTGAAAAGTTCTTGCAACCGTTCGTCTTGATTCCTGCCGACTATGTCGGCTGTTATGTTCAGGGCAAGTCTTTGGATCTCGACGTAGGACGAATTGTACAGATCATATATAAGGTTCAAATTAAAATCCTGAAACAGCAGAAGTTAAGCAAGAACGCGATAGAACACTTAGGGAAATGTTAGAAGTGCNATTTTTATTGATTCTTAAAAATGTTCCTTTAACCTTTTAGGTACGGCTGAATTCTGCGCGAGGCTATTTCTCTGGACGGCAGAGTCTGATATGTACTGTACAGAGTTTCTGTATATTCTGTCTGTATATTGTTAAGATACAGTTATATTGTTAACAGTTATATTGTTAAGATAAGTCTGTATATTGTAAATCGATGTGAAGACAAAAAAAGTGTGAAACAATGCATATGAAGACGATTATTTGATTCAAACGATGACCGAGTGAGCTACTAGAGTAAGCCACTATAGTGGCGCGTCGTGCCTAAAAGGTTAAGTAATTCTCTAACTATTTTTACTATAAATCCGCAAACGGTTTACTTTGAAGGACGCGCACAATGCATCCATGACATCCGCAGTGATAATTGCACTGCGCAAAGACTGACTTCTTCCTATCGTCGTCAGGCATTCGATGGCTCCGTTCAGGATTTCTACAGGAACCTTCAACACGGGTTGTCTCATCAGCCATACCAGATAATTCTGAAGCAACGTTGAAACGTGTCATTTGATAGAATTTTCAACGCGTTTAAACGATAAGGCGAGCAATAAATAATGAAAAATACCTGGCCCTGCATGTTTAAGAAATCCTGACCATTCTTTCCGTTGCATTTGAGCAGTTGGTTCAAGGCAAACATGGCTGCCTGTCTGGTACTCCATTTCAAGGATTCGTTTTTCAATATATCTAGGATACGCATGTGCTTGTTGAAAAAATAACAGCGAGTGAAATATCTAATATCTGATCTACCTAAGATATTCTTCATGCAACTGCTGGCGATCAGCTCTTTGGCAGCTTCGGGGTGAAGGGTCATCATGCCGATTCCGTGACAACCGATCTCGTACACGCTCTCTGGCATGTTGCCTTCGAATGTGTTCAACAAATGATTAACGATGCCGTGAGCGTAGAGAGCCTACAAGAGGAAACGGGTGTCGAGTCGAATAATAAGACCCAAACGAAGACTTTCGGATTTTAGGAGTTCACCTTTCTGCCCAGATGTGTGCGAGCAAGACGGACCGCTACGTCCAGCGCTTCGATGAAGAGCTTCGAGTGCGCTATGTCCTCTTTGTACTTCAGAATTTGCCGGATACCGCCTATGTCGTGGAGCAGCTCCACCGTCGCGGTGTTATCGGACGCCGAACAAAGGATCCTGAGTACCTCTGCGTGGAGATCTTGCCACTCGTCGTTCTAAACCGAGAGAGACGTGATTATTAAATCTTACGGGAACACGCGCAATCCTTTCTTACATCCAGGAACTTCAGCAGAGCTTGAAGACCGTTCGATCGTCTGAAAAGTTCTTGCAACCGTTCGTCTTGATTCCTGCCGACTATGTCGGCTGTTATGTTCAGGGCAAGTCTTTGGATCTCGACGTAGGACGAATTGTACAGATCATATATAAGGTTCAAATTAAAATCCTGAAACAGCAGAAGTTAAGCAAGAACGCGATAGAACACTTAGGGAAATGTTAGAAGTGCTGCATCTAACTGTTCATCCTAATACACCTTTGTCTGCAAGACCTCGTTCGAGCCAACAGGATCTTGCAACAAGTTCAGCAGGATCTGCAAGTTGTTCCTCTTAACGTCCGGGTCGGGTGACTGAAATTTTTCGAACAAAAAGTTCAGCCGCGGACACACTTTCAGCAACTGTGCCGCACCGAACAGGTCGCCTGATATTTCCGCCAATATCCAGGAGGAGAATTCTTGCATGAACACGTCCTTGTCGGACATCAGCACATTGGCGAAATAGGAGATGTAGTAAGTGGTTTCCAGCAGGAAGTTGCGCACGTTGGGAATGAGGATCATTTCTGCCAGTAGCTTCGCTGCGAATCTGTGTTCCCGATAACGATTAGCGGTGGTGGTGGTTTCGTTAAAAATCGAATAAAATAATAAGCGAAAGAAAACCTTCGGATAAATAGATCCTCGTGTTCGATCAACGGAATCACGCTCTCCACAATGTCGAGATCGAACAACACTTCTAAATTCTCTTTGGCTTTGCTGCCGTATTTGGAGAGAGCAGCGGCAGCCGCCAAAAGCCCCGGTTGCTCTTGACATTTTAGAAGCAGTATCGCTGTTCCGGGATACTTCACTTCCAGATGAAGATGATCGAACTTGTACTTGCTCTGCTCTTGACGGTCTACGTGTTCCTTTCCTCTCTCCGAACGTTTCTGTTCCAATAAACATTTATGCTATAAAATAGAAGAGCGACGAGTTACATGTAGACTATTTACTTCCGCCTTCTTCGGTCCCATGTTTCTTCATTTAATATCAGACAAATCATTTACATCGCGACACGTGATAAACAGTGTGTGCACAATGAACATGGCCGCGATGAACATCTAAACGATACAAATTGTAAAAATCTTACTCAACGGTGTTCTTTGATATTACATACATACTTGCGACGTGTACTTAATGAATCTTAAAAAATATATAAAATCTCTCTCGCACAGTATAATAACGTGTGTATATATAATTATATATAATTAGATGTGCGTATTATTGGACGCTTTGAAACTTACACGTCTAAATGAAACAGCGTCGACGGTGAGAATGAGATCGATTCGACTACAAACTACGCAAGTCCTCTAACAATACTACGTGTACGTAGCCATGTATAAATTACATATATTTATAAATGGAAATGCATTCGTTTCGTTGCAGTATATTCATTGTGGAGTGGCTTACGCTATTGTAAAATATATTACTATTATGTGTATTTCTCTCTTGTAAAAGGCTATCCGCATATTCCTAAAAGGCACAACGTCGATTCTTATAAAACTAAAATCGGTATAAAAAAATGGTATAAAGTAAGTATTATCGATGTATGTACATGCTACAAATACAACAACGGTTTCGTGGACGGATTAAATATTTAGCTGAACCTTGTAATGTTAATGAAACTCAGTCGTCACGCGTCGCTCCTTATTTTTTTTTTTTTTTATGGAAAGATCATCTTTACCTTGGATAAATAAGGAAACCTGCGGGTGGGGATGTTAGACAGCTGTTTGTGGGACACCCTGAACTAGCTGCGTTTTACTTTTGCGCAACGCGGGTTGGCTGAGCGTTTTGTTCAGCTTCGGATGCCCGTTTGGCGAACTGGTAACAAATCCTTCGGAGCGCATGTCTTTCAGCGAGATGTTCGAATTACTTCTGAGCGATGGGGTCGAGCTGAACTTCCGGTTCTGCGCCAATCGTTCCTGAAGCTTCGCCTCGTTCTGCCTTGCAGCTCTTGACCTCAAAGGCGGCGCATCCCGGTACTCGTAGACGTTCTCCTTGGAGGAACGAGTCAGATTCTCGATTCCCTCCGAGGGTTCGTCGTCTCGAACCATCAGGATGTCCCCGCTATAGTAGTGATCAGATTGTCTAAAAGCAGTCACGGATCGAAGCAACGATTAACGATCTGTTTCGAATTGACATCGAGTTGAGTACCATCTCCAATTCCACTTATAACGATCAGAACTTCAAGAAAGTGACGATATCAAAAATGTGCGCATGTGCTTGGATAATATGTGACAGTAGTAAAGTGCTACCGTAGTTACCTGCGTATACTCTGGCAGCCTTAGTTTTGCTGCATGGATAGTAAGTAGAGAAACGGTTGAATTAGTAAATGGTATTCTATGAGTGTTAAGTCTCCGATTTGAGTAGATGTAAAACCAGAACCACATCCCCATGCTCTACAGTTAGATCATTGGTAGCAAGCTCTACCACACTTGGAGCAATTGTCATATGGGTTTGGTTCTGTTTACCTTTTCTTACCTTTTGGCGTTACGCCAAAGCATGCAGCACACTACGGAGAGCACGATCAACAGCAGACACGCTGTTGAGACTGACCAGAAGGCAATTTGCAATGGCTGCTTCGGTTCCCACCAATACTATATAATTTTATTCGCATCTTTTAATTAAATGTAACTCTTTCATTTAAGACCATATAGTAAATCAACACGATCTTACCTCGGTAACCGGAGGATACGTGGGCACCAAGCGACCAATAACGGTGGGTAGATACATGGACCAGAAAGCGCTCTCTGTTTGTCTATAGTTCAGCAGAATTGAACTATTGAAGGTAGTATTAATATTTAAATACCGCAATTGGCCCTGTCTAGCGACTTCCATGTGTAATCCCAAGATTTGCGACGGTGTAGGATTCCTAGAACGTGATGCGATCACTGTGCTATACTGAAATCCAACGCATCTCACAAATTAACTCAAATACATACCCATACGTTGCAAAATTTGAATATGCCTGCATAAAAAAGTGACTCATGTTGCGGTCGTTATCGGTCCACATATCTCGTTTCAATTTCCATTTCTCTGGGAAATATTCTATAGAATTGTGATTTATTGTTAGAAAATGTTCGAACAAATTTATTAGGCTGCATTACATTGTAAACCCACCAACATCCATGAATGGCGCTCCCGTAAGCCAAAGAAGTTCGGTATCGTGGGGCACCCTCCGCCACTCTGGTAGATTCAACGCCTCTATAGTTGTGTTCAGTACATACAAGAAAGTAGGCACATCCTTCTCCACCAGAAGCTTTGCCATTTTGTCAAATGGGGCCACGTAATGGAAATCGGACAGCAGCTAAACACACAATATCATTAATTATCCCCATTAAATTAGTACTCCCGACTTTAGTACGCTCAGCTTACGTTCACATACTGATCGCGGATGTCCGTAACGTTTTTAGGGTCCGGCCAGTAAGTATACATATATTTAATGGCTTCGTATACACCCAGCGGGTTCAGAGTGTAATTGTACTGAAGAACGAACTCCCATAGCTTTTGGTCGAACGACTCTGGATCTATAATGTACTGATTCCTTGCCAGTGTGGCATTGTTATCTGAAATCACGGAAATATTACTATATTGCAACGCGACAGTGTAAACGCATCAGCTACTCACATAGTATGTATGCTGCTTCTTGGGTGGTCACACCAGCCATGTACGCCAAGTTGCGTTTAAACCTACGATGTTTAATACTGTTTTCAGGCGTTTCGGTAAAAAATCGCCAGTCCGATGTTCTCCAGTTTTCGTACAGATTGTCGCTAGGCAATGTGAAGTTGAAATCAAACACGGGCGCCCATGGGAACATTCCAACGTGCGGCTTTAACTGAGAGTTACCCAATTCAAGAAAGCTTCGTCCATCCTTTAAACACTGAACCAATTTCCAGCTACTCTCTATGCTGCAGCCCAACATCTCGGCGTATACTCTGGACGTGTTCTGAGCTCTGTACTTATCCATTATGACTGCCCAATCCGCCAGCGGAGAACCCGACTGAGCTATTACTTTCGAGACCATGTCTCTAGTACCAGGAGCAACCATTAAAAGTCCAGCGCTAGCGGCACCGGCGCCTGGACCAAAAAGCGTTATCGCGTCGGGATTACCGTTGAAAGCTCGAATGTTATCGTGCACCCATCTCAGCGCCATCGCTTGGTCCAGGAGTCCATAATTTCCAGGACTATTTTCATCTCCTGTGCTTAGGAATCCCAATGCTCCCAATCGATAATTAATTGACACTACTACTACATTGTAAAATGCTGCCAACATGTGACCAGAGAATAAGTTACTAGCTCCATAAGTAAACTCTCCACCATGAATATATAACATTACGGCATACGGTTGAGCTACACCAGAACCAATGTAGGGTGTGAACACATTTAGATATAAGCAGTCTTCGTCTACATCTTTGACACCTTTAGTAGCACCGGTGTATGTGCTGGGCTGAGGACATGCCGGTCCCCAGTCTACAGCTTGAAGCAATTGCCATCCACCGTGAGGTCTGGGAGGCCTGAAACGGCCCTCCCTCGTAGGTGGCTGGGCATACGGAATGCCCAGAAATACGTTAACATGTTTCGTGACTCTTTCTACCGGCAAACTCCACGGTCTATGTCTCGCTTGTGGATTATCGTACAAATAGACTTTAAACCCTTGCACTTGTCCATAGGTGGTAGTAACAGTGACATCTCTGTCTAAGGTTTTAGAGTCAGGTCGTTCTTTGCCTTGAAGATCCTCCCGCCAACCTCCTAGTACTCCAGGCAGCGGTAATCTTGAAGTAGTATCCTGAAAAACCATAATACTGTATACAGGATTCCTAAAAAGCACGGTCATAATAGCTGTCCACCCTATACCTTCCAATCACATGTTATGAGATTGGATTGGAGTGGACAACTATTGCGACGAACGTTGTATTTCGGAGCTTCTCTGTCGAAAAACGGGATACAGTCATCGTGTCCATTTAACTCCACGTTCGTATAGGTAAATTATAAAATCGGGGTCAAACGACTCTATGAAACGACCTGTACATTTATCTCGGTAAGAATCGCGCGTTACTCATGGGAGTGACCCAGTATGCGAGCGCGTTCATTGCACGTTGCGTTTCATCGATTTTGCGGGGTGTCGACGCAATGTTTCTGCAGAAATGCATTTGCGTCGTCACCAACTGGATTTTCCACAACATTTTCGACGCTCACCTCGAAATGATATCGGTCGTCTGGCAGTCTCGGTGGTCCTTTGTAAACAGGGTCCAGGTAACTGGGACGGTACCCGTACCTTCTATCCTTGTAAATATAAGTGTCAGTCCTGTGATCGGGTCCGTTGTTAGGCACATAGACACCGTCTCGGCCATAATACCGATTGCCGGCTGGTATTTGTTCTTGACACAGCGCCGCAGTCGCGAGGCACCCCAAGAAAAAGCAGACGCGAACGACCGACCACCAGTGCAGCCTATACACGGCCATCTTACCGCGTGTGATGCCTTGCCGTGCTATGGATGGACTAGCGTTTTACTGAAACCAGAAAGAGAGAGAGAGTGAGCTGGAGGACAGGTGGGGTCCGTCCGTGTGCGGCACGTTCACGGGAGAACGAGCTCGTGACACATTCTCACACATTCACAGAAACGCGCCCGCGCTTACGTTGAAAACCGGGGAACTTGGTCTCGACAAGAAACTCGCCGCGAACCGGGGAAAAGGGAAAGGCGCCGTGAAAGTAAAATCCTACACGTAGACGTACGTCGTACGTACGTTCATTGAGAAATAGTGCTGCACCGAGTTCCACGTGAAAGGTTAGACAGGAGGAATGGTTTTTTCAGAGAAAATCGGTGGAACGGTACTCGGCGCAATTATTACGAAACCGATGATGGTCACGAACGGCATGCGAGCGGGCCAACACCCTGCCTCGTGGTCCGTCACGATTGAAAACGGCCGTTTCTCTCGTCGCGGCCTGTACCCGTCCCTTCAAAACACGCGCACTTGTGCTATCCTCACTATCCTCGACTCTGTCGCGTTGCCGGACCCGTCTAACTTATCGTTTTTTCGAACGTTATTACGATCATGTAATAGCTTTTACCTTGCGAACTTCCTGTCTCGTCAGAGATGCTTCTGTATTCCAGAAAAATGTAAAGAACCTGTTGCTAATATACCTGTTCGCCATTTTTCAAATTATTTCGAACGCGTTGCGCTGCCAAGGATTGCGGTAAGGCGAAATTCTGGAATTTCTAAGCGACCCCTTGCGTAGGCAATAAAAATGCGCGAATCATTTTAAGGTTTTAGCATCGAAAATATTTTGCATAGATTTTGATTTTGAGAGTATAAATCGATGCGGTAATGTTCAGAGAATGATAATTCGATGCAACTTTACAGTACTTTTTTTTTTTAAAGAAAAATAGTAAGTTAATGAAGAATTTGTATCGAATACGGGAGTGTGTATCCGGTTGTCTATGCACAGGGGCACGTAGGAAGCTCCGGTGACTGTTCCGAGAATATCTCGAAAACTTTTACTTAGTATTTACTGTCACTCACCGATAATTCGTAGTATCCGTGGATTACCGTATTGGTAGGTTACTCAGATGTTTGTTGCAGCATTTTAGGAAAACATTGCCGGAGGATTGTCTGATGGAAAATGTTGCTCCGTCCAGTATACTGTGGCCACTGAACGTTAATGTGACACTCGCGTGCAAACGCACGCTACGATCGACCGCCCACTCGTCAGTAAATTGTATACACTGAATCGTGATCGAGCAGCGTGATCCACGGGTACTTGTGATCATCGAAGTATGTCGTTGAGTGAATGGACGACGAGTCAGCGTGCTGACGTTCTATTCGGTGCAGTAAATATTATTAATTAGTCTTTCGCGTCGACCGAATCGGGTACACCGAGCAAACACAGTATGAATCGTATTCTTCCGGAATCGGGAGGATATCTAGTTTAAAGTAAACCGTTCCCTTCTGTGCGACACAAGTAAGATAACAGCTTTACAAAGATTACAGGTTCGAATAACGGTCACGCTTATCGGAATGAGTATACCTAGAGAGATTAGATCAGTGATGCTCATCGTAGCGGTATGTGAATTCATTGTCCTGCATGTTCCGGTCGTTTATCATTTATTTGACCAACGAATTAATCGATCGTAGCTGGAGCGTTAATGGCTTGGAATCCTGAACCGTTCGTTCTTCTTCGGAAGACGAACCTGACAAGAAATTATTTAAAATAAAAAAAAATGTTGTAGTAATTGATGAAAATGTTCAAAAATTGGCACGAACAACTTTAAATATAGAAAAGGTGATGTCCATTTTCCAAGATTGAATACACAGCGTTTCTGTCCGTTATGCACGCGTTTCCAACAGGGTTTTTCTTACTGTACGAGCGCAGCTGTCCTCTCAGGTCCTGGATCGTTTGAAGAGGAAGACGAGGGCAAGCTGAAGTTACACAAGAAGAGTTAATAGACTGCCGAGAAATTTAAATTAATAGGAATGCTTGTTTACGGCGTTCAACGCTCCGTCAGCTTTCGACTCTTCGAGACTGCAGATAAATTTTTGTATCGCAAAATTATTAAATATAAATCGATTTACCGATCGATGAAATGTGGAAGTAACGGGGCGAGTGGTGAAACTTGGAGAAAATAGCCAGTTCCCAAGAATTTCTGACAAGGCAAACAATTTTTTGCCGGTAGTCGGCTTCTCCCCAGCGCGAGTTCTCCAATTTACAGCAATTGCTGGATTTATTAGGCGTTCCCCGCTCAACTTTACTTACACGGTCGCGCGTGTACAGTCCCAGTAAAGAGTCAAGCGGAGTTTAATTACACGCTATCCCCTTGGAATCGTCACGCTCCAAGCAGCACCGGGGTCTGGGCTCTAGCTACCGAGAAACGTATAAAGAAAGGGTCCTGAATCGTTTTTGGAAAATCTGAAAAATACCTTCGATAGTGTTCAAAATCGTTCAACAACGATTCACGTTATCCTAATCACGGAAGAAATCAATTATCATTGTTTGCATGCCATAGAAACGAATTCTTTGTCATCCTACGAGGCTCATCTCCGATAAAAGCATTCGTTTCTGTTCTAGAATTCGGCACGTTCTTGATTCGATGAGAAACGCAAATTTCCTGAACTTGATTGAATTGTGCCGCTGTCCTTGTTCGACGTTCGCGGCAAGTTGATTTAAATGAGCGCTATTATGCTCGTTGTTCGTGTCCTGTCGTGCGTACATCCCCCTTTTATGGGAACTTCGACGTTGTAGCCTTTGAACGCGTGGGAATAAGAACGTCGACGTAATTGCCATCTTCGACGACGGTCAGCAAGTTCGACGTCCGATTTTCAAAATATACAAATTCGTCGTTCGATATTGGTACAGAGCCTTCGTCCTTCGATCACGTGATTTCTCTGCTCTGGAAGCACAAACTTTGTTAATAGAGAATTCCTCGTTTCGAGAATTGATATTAGTATATATTAATTTACCAAAATATTGCGGTACCGGGACATTGTTGACGATTGTTATCATAATGGACCAACATCCGAGTTCTTCTCTCGTCAAATCAAATTTCTTTGATTTCGCCTAATTTCGATGGTTGCCGAGACTGCGGTGAACGCGTTAACAATGAACTCATTCCAGGTTTTTATGGTTTTGGACTGCCGTGCGGCGGCTTTGGTGGAGGCTGTGTGTCGGGAGGGTGGGGGGAATAACGCATCCCCGAAATCCCCGACACGTGGTCGTCGTTCCAGCAAGCGTGCAAGGCACAGATGCACCGGTGGTCGAAGGGTGGGGGTGGTGGAGTGCGGCGGTGGAGGCGCAGCTCGATGGGGCCCCACTTGTTTCGACGTAAGGTCGGCTTGTCACTCGAGAGTGCGTTGCCATTCCGGCAACATCGGACGTGTCCGTTCACCAGCATCCTTGCCCGTTTTTCGCAACCGTGGTCCATCTGGAACACCACTGAGACCCAGTGTCTTTACAATCTTTTCAACAACGTTTCACGGTTTTTGTGGTGTCCGGGACAGTCCGTGGTTCGACGAGGTGCGACACGATCAGTGATACAATTTTAAAGGATGCTCTGACGATCTTTGAACGCGGAACGACTTCGATACATTGTTAGACCTTTGGAAGAGAGTTCAGAGTTCTTGGTAATTAGCCGGGAATAGCAACGGACAAACGATGGCAACGGAAACGCTGTCGCGCGAGCTGGACGCGCATATTATCACTCTGTTGACGAGGATCTCAGCGCTGAGGGAGAACAATGCCGATGTAACCGCCGAGAGGAAAGCCCCGATGTCGATCGAGGCGCGCAGCCTCGAGCTCTGGAGAGCGGTCGCCGTCGAGTGTTTCGCCACTTTCCTCTTCAGCTTGGCGGTTTCCGGCGCCGCGGCGTCCTCCGCGGTTTCTGGCAGTGGACTCTCCGTCCTTGCCACCGCTGTCGCCTCCGGGTTCGCCATCGCCGCGATTTCTCTCATTTTTGGACACATCAGCGGTGAGACCATCGTCGATTTCATTTAAAATTTATACAGAGTATAATATTAAACTCCAAGAATAATGTCACCGTACCTCACGTTTCGGCGTAATCATTGCGCATCTCAGTTTATAAAAGAATGAACCCCTGGCTACTGGAGTCTTAGCAAAATTTAACGTAACAGTATAATTGCGTAAAGGGACGTTAATTTCAAAGCTTAGAACCGTAAACGTTGTGAACGACATTATTTGTGGAGCAACGGTATCAGTTAACGACGCCAAGACGAGTCTTCTGATGGAAACGTGACGGGGATCGCAATTGTCGCGTTGGTAGCCAGCCGTGATGGCTCGTCTCGATTGGCTTGTTAACCGATTCTAGCAGTTAATGGAAATATGCTCCTTTGGAACGCAGATTCAGTCTAGCCGGCTTGCGACCAGCAAGCACCGGAACGAAATTTTTGAAAGCTCTAGATGAACCTAAAGTCACCGTCGCCTGGGATTCGAAATTTTCGGTCGTTTTGTACGGTTTTCGAACTATTAGCTGGCAAGCTTCGAAATTTCCTTTGTGTCCATGCTTGCTTTGCGACAAACACGTAGCGAAATAAGAACAAACATGTCCAAATAGTTGAACGGGCCGGGCAGGGAGAGGAGGATCGTCGCCTTCGACACCCGGCGAACCGATATTAATACGATAAAATGGTTGTACGCGCAGGTGGCCACGTGAATCCAGCTGTCTCGGTTTCTTTCGCTCTCTGTAGACGGATTTCGCTGCTCCGCGCTGCTCTCTACATCGCAGCACAATGCGGAGGTGGAATAGCCGGCGCGGCGATGCTCTACGGGTAAGTCCACCTAAAGAAACAAATTACTTATTACCGTGCTCCTTTCACGCTTTCCTGTTCGTAATTCGACACGCTTCGGCCGCAATTACGCGCAGGTTTCAATTAATCACCCTATCGTATTCATTGATACGGCCCCCTAAGAGACGTTTAAATTTTCTTGCTTATTAATGCGCCATATATAGAAGGGGCTCTTCGTTACAAATAGTTTGCTCGACAATTTTTTATCGCGAAGAAGTCCCTGGGCGAGAGATAAACGAAACGTTAGACATTCCTCGACTGCAGTGTGCGGAAGAAACGTTCGTCAGCAAAGAAAAAGCGAGATACGCGGCCGCCGAGAGAGCAGCTGCCAGATATGGCGGGCAAGGACTCGCTCGGAGACCAAAAATACATATATTTAGCTATGGATTTGTTTCGTCAGTTTCACGGCCGAAACAACATCCGCTAAATTCATTCCGCTAAATAAATAAATGCTGGTTTTGGCAAAGACACGAGCCTGAACCTTACGAGTTCGGAATGCCGAGGTGGGCATGGTTTAGTCGCCCCGTATTTGGTCCCAGGTCGCTCCGAAACGAAGACGGAAGTTAGAAAATTATATGGAACGCCGTGTGTTTGGGACGAGTTTAGCTTCGACAAATTTCTCCAAAGTATTATTAATGTACGGGTCGGCGACCCGCGGTAATTGAACGAGCGAGACCGGTCCCGATCATCTTGAGGAACGAGATCTTTCGAGGAGGACCAGCCCGCGGCTGCGACTCGGTCCGTGCACGTGCCGCGATCCCGCTCGTGCGTCGAATATCGCGAGAGAAAAATGGAGAAAAAGGGGGCGGGGGCTGGGGGGCACGACCGGCTCCTCGACCACCTCCACTGTCCGCGTTGCTCGCAACACCGTCCTCCAGGTGTAGCTGTCTATACTTCAGCTACCATTCATTCATCCACCTTTTTTTTGCACGCAGCCGTCCGGATACAGAATCTAAAACCAATTTCAATTGTTCAACAACAAGTTGTTCGAACGGACAGAACTGATACAAACTCCAGTTGCCTGAAGGCATAGAAAAATGTTCAAAAAATCATAACTAGCGTCGGCGTAGCTTATAAGTACCGTACCCTTTACGGGCCAAAATCGAGACGATTCTCGCGCCAGGTTCCAGATGCTTGATTTAAACGAGAAGAAAAAGAAGGCTCGCGAGAAGATTAGACAGAGGAGGGAGGGAGAACGAGAGGAACGATTGAAAAGCAAGCAAAAGTGCGCGGAAGGAGAAAGGGCAGAAAGAGGCACGCGTAATTGGCAGCGGTGAAGGAGAGGTGGGGCGGGAGAAGAGAAGCTTCTTCGAAGCCCGAGCACCTGCCTCGTTCCTCGAGTCCTGCGGCAGGCCACCGCTTCGCAGCTGCCGCAGATGTTTCGTGGACCAAAAAAGATCCGCAAGAAGGTGAGCCCGGTGAAGGGGGGGAACGAGGAGGCGAGGGATCGAGAACGTGTGTGCACCAAAAACCAAGATAATGAATACCTATGCATGCCAAGGTGGGACAAGTTTCACGACCCGATCGGCTCGTTGAAGGGGAGGACACGTCGTAATCCGGAGAGCCGAGGCAGATGTTTCCCCGCGTTTCCGAGGATCATTGTCCTCCCCCTCCTCCTCTTCCTTCTCCTTCTGCTCGTCCTCCTCCCGTTTTCTCCTATTCTGTTCCTCCTGTTTCCCTCGGTGCCTCCGGCCCTCGCCACTTGTGCGCTCGAAATTAACGTCACAGTCTGGACCGGAAACTATCCTCCACGGCCTCGAGACGCGTGGCCGTCGGATTAGAAACCCCGGAAGCTCGGGCTTGACGATTTCGGATCGGAATCTCGTTACTGCTCTCTCCAAACCGAGTCACAGACTTGCAAATATTCCTAAAATTGTAATACTATCGTTCGTGTATATTTTGGACGCCGCAAAAAATACCCCAGTGTAAAATAGAATCTTTTTACTTGCCTCTGATGGGAGAGTATCGATGAAATTTTATGGGGTTCCGAATATAGGGGCGTTGCTCGCTCCGCGACCCTCCTGTGAATCTAGGGTCCACGAATATGCAACCTGTGTGAACCTGTGACCCGCTGCAGGTTCAGCGAACAGGTAACATCGCAACGATCGAAGAACAGGTGATCGCGCGCCTAAGAAGGGTACAATTATTTTAGATTAATTTTTCGCTCTGGAAACAAATCAAACTAAGTTGATTAGAAACTGAAATTTTAACGCCTATCGATGAGGGATTGCGCTCCATAGGGGCCCAGAACTATGCGATCGCATATCGAGATAAAAAAAACTAGAAGAGAATGTTTGCCATCGTGGCGCGGGGTGGCACGGCCATCCCGTAGAGACGGAAACCACCCTCTGACCACCATACGACCGCACAAAGAGACAACAAGTGCGCGATATGTACCGAAATAATAATCGAACAATGCTCTAGTTAACCGGTCGAGTTCGTCATCTCTCTAAGGATGTGGCCTCTATCTCTGGGGACCAGGGGGGGCAAAAAAGATGACCGGTCGAACAGGGTGCGAGGAGCGGGGGAGGGAGGGGTGGCGCCCATATTCTTGCATCTGTTGCGAACGAGTCGCGGGCGGCGTTTGTAAAACACGTATCCTTGCGTCGTCGCAGCCGAACGACAGGGGTTGATGCGCTCTCAGCCCTCGCTACTCCGCCCTGGAATATAAATAAAAAAAGGAAATAGAGACGAGAAAAGGGCGCGGAGTCGATAAATCGTAATGCCAGGGCGGGAGGGGGCTAACCAGATATTATGGGAGAATCGGAAACCGCGAGAGTCTAACCATCCGTAAAGAATTTACTATCACCGGGTTACAAGATTTTTCCATTAGAACGCCATCGACTTTAATGGGGCGCAATTTTTTTAGAGCACGGCTACTGCAAAGAATTCGAGAAGCCATTCGGATTTTGTTGGATTCTAAAGACCGTGGTGCAATGTTCTAAGCCGGGAGACAGACACCAAACGTTTAGGCAAAGTTTTTCAGCGTTTATAGAGTGAAATGATCTTTGGGGAAGCAGAGAACCGTGATTTTCAGAGACGCGTCCGCCAAGGTTTCTCTTGGAATTAGCAAGAGTTCCACGGGGGAGGGTTCCTTCATGGTATAAACCTATTTGTTAGGGGAGTTTGCCACCACGGACCGAGGAAACAGCTGTGAGGAAGCAGGTGTGTTGTGACGTCGGGCCAGACACGTTGCGCGCGTGGCTTGCTGGATGTCCAGCGAAGGGACAGCACCGTGTCCTGCCTACTCGAATCATTGGCGACGCGTTTTTCCTTCAAAATCACGCCTTCGCCCCCCCTGCATCAGCTGCATCGTTCTTTCGTAAACGTTCTTCAAATTCTAATCAAACTGACCCCTCTATTTTACCGCAGTTTAATGAACGGTCGAGAGTTTGTCGCGCCCAGAAATATCCGTAGAAGCGAACGCTCTCATAGCCGACCTGCAATATCCTAAGCTTCTTCGAGAACCTCTTCATATTGGGTTCTTAAGTCGCGCTTTGAATGAGGGAACCTCGTCGGCATCCGTCGGCGCGACGGTCGAACATATAAAACCCGCGTTTCATCACCAGGTTTCCGCTTTTCCGATCCGTATTGAGGCTCGACGAATCTGACCGTGTCGTCCAACGCGTTTGAACCTGGAAATGGAGCGAGTGTTAGGAATTTATGCGAAGCAAGAGTACAATTCTTTGATTTGGCGCACGGGCACGCCACGCTTCGACTCCCTTTATGTATAAGGAGAGAAACTGTTGTTCGGCCGAAAATGCAGCGTGAAAGCCAGGTGGGTCAGGTAGAGCCGTTTCAGTAGGAATGCTTTACCTGCTCCACGGAACACCTTTTACCGTCCGCACAAAGAGCCGTCGCGATTTTAGCTTTTACAGCCTCGGCTGTGTCCCCCCTCCCTCTCCTCTCCGGCTGCTAACGCCACTGTTCCTCTTTCGGTAAGTTATTTCAGGCTTCGGAAAATGCGTCCACACAGAGAGAGAGAGAGAGGACCGCGGTGTTCTCTCTTTCTCTCCGGTTAGTAAAAATAAAATATAACCGGGCAAAAAAAAAGAACGAAGAAGAAGCGTTTGGAACACGTGGTCCCACTTCACCGGCCACCTCTTAAACCACCGACGCCTGGCGTCTCTTCTTAAGCTAAATATTTAAGTTAGGCGTTGGGAAAATTTACGCCTCTCGCCCGAGTATGACAAATCAGAAAAACTCTTGAAACGAATCCTTCCCCGGGTGGAGACGGTGCGAACGCGCGCGCTTCAAGTTGTTCCTCTTCTTCCAATATTTTACTGGCGCCCGAGAGATGGTAATCTCTGTTATCCATGAAAGGATTTATCTGTGTGATTGCCTGACGCAGCCATCAAGGTTCCATCAGGGCACTCGTGAAGATATTCACGGGGCATTACATAATTTCCATTGAAAGTTTTCGAATCTTTCCTTAGGCTCGCCCGTAGATCCGCTTTGAAATGCCGCTCTCGCAGTCGGCGGACTGTTCTGAATACGAAGACGTAGAAAGAATCGATGCTGAGAAGGGAAGAAAGGAGGCTGCGGAGCGAACACAGGGTCGAGCCGGAGCTGGATGCCAACAGATGGTCGCGACCACGTGTTCGTTCTCAAGAATCTCTCGGTTCTCCGGTGGTAGACTGCGCGCGATTAGATGCACAAGCGGCCGGTCTGTTAACGACCATTGTAATTAACCGCTGGACGGCGTGACGACCTTCTTTAAACCGCGACCGAGTTTCTTGGTCTCTTAATCGGTCCGAGATTGGATTTTCTTTGATTCGCTGAGACTGAAGTGCAAATCAATTTTGCTGTTACAGTACCGCTGAATAGGTGATGCTTAACGGGAGCGACTCTGAACATTTCCCTGGCAACAGAATTTTTGTTTTTTTTAATCTGTTAATAATTAGGTCACGCATAATTAGAGAATAACAGCTTTCAGAAACTGTAACTCAGAGAGAGAGAGAGAGAGAGAGAGACAGACAGAG